GATTTAGCCTAATTAAAATATAAACTAATGTTTTAAAAATGTTTTAATTGGCAAGTGACCATGGTATAAGCGGGTTAATGCCCTCCGAGGTGTCCATTGTCGGCCGGTTCACGCCTCGCCGTCGTCCATTAAAACCTGACAATAGACACCTCGTCGGGCATTAAACCTTACTGATAGCACGCCAAAAAATGGAAATACGAATTGGCGTGTCACACGCTACTTCATGAGATCAGTCTGCTTTGAGAAGTGAAGTGATGTGCAGCATGAGTAAAATAGTGCTTTTGACATTGGGTTAATGTAAACCTGTTGTAGGAGAGCTGCAAAATAAAAACAGCCTAGTAGGCACTTTAAAAAAACTAATGGAAATGTTGATAGTGCACAAATCATTTTTTGATGCTTATTCAAACCTACCTACCTAGATCACTCACATCAGCTAGAAACACCAAGGGTTCACTCTAAGCATGGAGAGTCTGCTTTTAGCTATTATGCCAACAGCCGCCTCTGGAACCAGCTTCCAGAAGAGATCAGGTGAGCTCTTACAGTAGTCACATTTAAATCCAGGCTCAAAACACATCTGTTTAGCTGTGCATTTTGCCACTGTTCGTCCGACTGTTACTGCGTACTACGTTTTATTTTTGATTCTAAATTGTTTTAATTATTTACTGTATTTTATTTTTATAATAATTTTTATTTTTCATGTTTTATTCTAAACTGTTCTAATTATTCTGATTACTTTTGATTATTTAATGTTTTCTATGTAAAGCACTTTGAATTGCCATTGTGTATGAAATATGCTATATAAATAAACTTGCCTTACCTACCTACCAGTATTAACTTTCACATGCAGTTACACATTAACCTACCTACCTACCAGTATTAAATAAAAAAAATATATCAAACAACCACTACAACCCCACATGTTGTTTGAGAGGGTTTCAAGAAAGATCCTCCTCACTCCTCCAAAAACAAACTCCAGCATATTCAGGTGTCAGACACGACTGGATCTTCAAACGGCACAGGGTTCTGTGGTCAGATGAGACTAAAAAAAGAGCTTTTTGGCAGTAAGCACACTAGATAGTTTGGTGGACATGAGGATAAAAAGTACCCCATGTGTACAATTTAATAAACCATTGGATCTTTAATGTTGGGGACCTATTTTTCTGCAGGAGGTCCTGGACTTCTTATTCAGATACATGGCATTGTGGATTCTATTAAACATCAACAGATAAAAAAATATCAAAACCTGACACCTTCTGCTAGAAATCTTATTATGGGCCATGGTTGGATCTGCCATCTGGACAACGATCCAAGACAAACATCAAAATCAACACAAAAATTTGTTAGGGAGCACAAAATGAAGCTTCTGCCATGACCGTCCCAGAACCCTATAGAAAATGAGTGGTCCGAACTGAAGAGAAGCACAAACATGGATCTGGGAATCTGAAGGATCTGGAGAGTCTGTATGGAGGAATGGTCTCTGATCTCAGGTCAGGTGTTGTGCAAACACATCAGGCATTATAGCAGAAAACTCAGAGCAGTTATCTTGGCAAAAAGAGATTGCAAAAAGGTATTTAATAAAAGGGTATGAGTAATTGTGGCCAACGTGTTTTGGAGAAAAACATTTATTTTATAATGTGATCCCACATTACACATTAACAAACATACCTAGCAACCAGTATTAACTTTCACATAGTTACACATAAACCAACCTACCAGTATTAACTTTCACATGCAGTTACACATTAACCTACCTACCTACCTACCAGTATTAACTTTCACATACAGTTACACATTAACCAACCTACCTACAAGTATTAACTTTCACATACAGTTACACATTAACCTACCTACCAGTATTAACTTTCACATGCAGTTACACATTAACCTACCTACCTACCAGTATTAACTTTCACATGCAGTTACACATTAACCTACCTACCTACCTACCAGTATTAACTTTCACATGCAGTTACACATTAACCTACCTACCTACCAGTATTAACTTTCACATGCAGTTACACATTAACCTACCTACCTACCAGTATTAACTTTCACATGCAGTTACACATTAACCTACCTATCAGTATTAACTTTCACATGCAGTTACACATTAACCTACCTATCAGTATTAACTTTCACATGCAGTTACACATTAACCTACCTACCAGTATTAACTTTCACATACACTTACACATTAACCTACCTACCAGTATTAACTTTCACATACACTTACACATTAACCTACCTACCAGTATTAACTTTCACATACACTTACACATTAACCTACCTACCAGTATTAACTTTCACTTACAGTTACACATTAACCTACCTACCTATCAGTATTAACTTTCACATAGTTACACATAAACCAACCTATCAGTATTAACTTTCACATAGTTACACAAACCAACCTACCAGTATTAACTTTCACATAAAGTTACTCATTAACTTTTACATGCAGTTACACATTAACTTTCACATACAGTTACTCATTATCGTTCGCATGCTGTTACTCGTCATTTCACATGCAGGTACTCATCATTTTTCACAGGCAGGTACTCGTAAACTTTCACATGAAGCTACTCGTAAACTTTCGCTTGCAATTACTCAACAACTTTCTCACGCAGTTACATATCGATTTTCACTGCAGTTACACATTAGCTTTCACATGCAGTTACACATCAACTTTCACAAGCAGTTACTCGTCGCCTTTCGCATGCCCGTTACTCATCAACTTCGCTTGCAAGTTACTCATTAACTTCAGTGCAGTTACTCATCATTTCACATGCAGCTACTCATAAACTTCGCTTACAAATTACTCATCAACTTTCAGATGCAGTTCCACATCAACTTTCTCTGCAGTTACACATAGACTTTCACATGCAGTTACCGGTTAACTTCGCTTGCAGTTACTCATTACCTTTCACATGCTTGCTACTCGTCTTTCACATGCAAGTACTCATATCTTTCACATGCAGCTACTCGTTACCTTTCGCATGCAGCTACTGGACATTTTCCGATGCAGTTACATATCGATTTTCACTGCAGTTACACATTAGCTTTCGCATGCAGTTACACATTAACTTTCACTGCAGTTACTCGTTGCCTTTCGCATGCAGCTACTCATTAACTTCGCTTGCAAGTTACTCATTAACTTCACGTACAGCTACTCACCATTTCACTGCAGTTACACGTTAACTTCGCTTGCAAGTTACTCATACTTTCACCTCAAGTTACTCGTACTTTCACCTGCAGTTACACATTAATTATCACACGCAGTTACACATATGACTTTCGCAAGCATTTACTCAATAACTTTCACCAGCAGTTACACATTAACTTCCACTTGCAGCTACTCATAAACTTCATCTGCAGATACTCATCAACAGTAACATGCACATTACTCACCGACTTTCACCTGTAGTTACACATAGATTTTCACTGCAGTTACACATCAACTTCCACAGCAGTTACTAAATAACTTTCACATGCAGTTACACATTAACTTTCACATGCAGTTACTCATTAACTTTCACATGCAGTTACACATTAACTCTCACATACAGTTACTCATTAACTTTCACATGCAGTTACACATTAACTCTCACATGCAGTTACACATTAACTCACATGTAGATACACATTAACTTTCACATGCAGTTACACGGTAACACTTTACAATAAGGTTCGTTAGTTAACATTAGTTAACTACATTAGTTAATATGAACTAATAATGAATAGCACATATACAGCATTTGTTAATCTTTGTTAATGTTATTTTCAACATTTACTAATACTTGATTAAAATCTTGTTAACATTAGTTAATGCACCGTGAACTAACATGAACAAACAATGAACAGCTGTGTTTTCATGAACTAACATTAACAAAGATGAACAAATGCAGTAACAAATGTATTGCTCATGGTTAGTGCATGTTAGTAAATACATTAACTAATGAACCTTATTGTAAAGTGTTACCAGTTACACATTGTCGGTTAAAAACAAGAAAGTGGCTAGTAAAAACGTCGAGTGGCTGGTCGATTTTGAAATCCACAGTGGCCGCCGGTGGACAAAAGAGTTGATTTCCATCCCTGCTTGGTAATGTCAAGGTGTCATAACAAAGACATCTCAAACAATGTCATATTTGCATTAAAACTTTCATAACTGAGCAAAAGACACTTAATGACAGTTGTCACAAACATGCATAAACCTTCCTTCATATTCATAACGTACATCATGTTAGTCTTATGCATACCCCTTCAAGTAAAGTGTTACCAAAGAATGAATCTCAGACAGTTCATAAGAGAAACGTGTGCAGTATTCCGTGCTGCAAGAATGCTGTCTTGACGAAGCCTAACTTGCTTCATAAATGTAATATATTTTTTAATATTTAATTTATCAGTCAGAGCAGGAATTAAGGCTACATTCGAATAAACAAAGCCAGCGGAGCGATTATCTCTGTCCATCTTGAGGAATGAAAACGGTTGAACCAAAGAACGTATATTGACAAAAAGTGAACGCTCCATTGCAACACAAGTATTTTGCAGTATTATCTTATATTAATGACCGTTAAAACAAAACTATGTAAACAAAAAAAACACAGCCACTGTTCAAAGTGGCAATTAAAGTTATAGGATAACGAACACAGCGCATCAATGATCATCATGTTTGTAGCATGATCCAGGGGATTAAAACGTACAAAATATATTTCAGGCCTAATGGAGTTGGTAACTAATATAAGTAGTAAATATGTAAAGTTGCATACAATGGAAATACCATAGACTGTAAAAAAAATGGACAAAGCGTCTGTGACGTCACTCATAGACTTTCTGAAGAACAGGTTTATGGGGGGTATGGGCGGCGCCATATTAGAAAATCTTGAGAAATACAAAATACAAATGTTCAGAAATACAAATGTTTCAGAAAGGATACAGAGATGCGTCGTGTCAGATCATGGCCAAGACGTCCAATTCCACTCGGCGCAGCCCGTTATCAGCTGTCAATCAAAGTTAACCGCCCTTATTTTTCATACATTTTATATCCAAATACGATCTAAACTAACGAGTCAGAAAAAATTCACTCACCTCACAGTTGTCAAGCACTCAGAACCTATCGAAAAATACAATAAAAGTCAAACTGTAAACATATGAATTGATGCTGTGAAAACGGACATTTTAATGTGAGGTCTATGGATATTCACCCCCTTTTGGGACCGGCCTCTAGCGGATTTTCGATGTATTGCAGTTTTTCCCACTTCCGGGTAGGCTTCATTTTTCAGATTAGAATTTTGCCGCTTGGGAAACATTAGAAGAAAAAACTACCTAAAAAAAACTGTTATCTATGCTGTTGTCCAGTAACTCCAGTTGGAATTTTCACCCCAAAATGGCGGCCGCGCTCCTGAAGCGCCACCTAGAGTTTTGCTTCTTGTTCTTCTAAACTCTTTGGTTGAACTCTGACCAATAAGAGGATCGTTTTATACACGTGGCTTGCATAAACACATTTTGGTACACTTTGAAATGTTGCTTTGTGAAAGCAAACCAAACGAGTAAAAAATTAAATCCGTGCTTCAGAACAAAGAAAATGACCTACAGGTATGAAAATGCAGCCCTACACTGCAACCTATGGCATGAGTTGGGCTTTGCTAATCAGGTTTTCTGATAATCAAGTCATTTTGTGTGAAAAGACAATGGTCATGAAAACAGTGGACTTCCTTTTGGAAAAAAATACTTTTGGCATTTGGTTGGAGAGACGGTGCTCACAGAAGGCACATGCAAACTTTCTTTCTCAATTGGCTCATTTAGGCTTTTATGGGCTCTATAATAACATTTTCTACCTCATGAATTTCGCTGAATATGAAATGAATATCTTCATAAATGGATATTAAAGGCTTTAGCTGTGCTTTGCCGCTGGAGTATAATAGAAACCCACATTTTGCTTAAGCCGAACAATAACTCCTGGCAAATAAACCGTCGAGGTATAAAACGGTTAATGGTAAAGCGGTAAACATGCGTGGGAGAGAGCAGACCTTGCCTATATCAGAGCAACTCAAAATTTCGACCCCAAAAAAAACGACAGTGGTACCCCTGTCGTTTTTTTTTTTTTTTTTCGGTGCGAAAAAATAAGTTTCTCCAATCTTCTTGAAACTCTGGATTCTGATAGAGGGCCATGGGACTTAGACCTGAGTCCAAAAATGGAGGCTCTAGACCCTTCCAGAGCTGGGATATTGAGATCCCACGTAGCAGTTATGCCATTGGGTTCGTGGACGGTGGAATTATGGGACGGCGCTTGGTGCTACGGACTCAGGGGCCCTAGCTGAGTGCAGTAAAATAGTTTTTATCATGACAGGAACTTTAATTAAAATGTCCAAAAAAAAAAAAAACCACTACCGAAATCCCCATTCAATAGATTGCAGGCGGGATTCTGTCCAATTGCAGCTTATTGCATGAAGGCCGGGGTTAGTACATTTAAGAATAGTGGGTTATTGGACAAATAGTGGGTTCGCGGACAGTGGATTCTGGGATGGCGCTTGGTGGTACGGACCCCGGGGTGGTCTCCTGAGTGCGGGAAAATAGTTATCACGACAGAAACTTTAATTAAAATGTCTATCAAAAATACTCCCCCAAATCCCCATTCAATAGCTTGCCGGTGGGATTCCAATTGCAGCATATTGAATGAACTGCGGAAAATTTTTTAAAAATACAGTGGGTTATTGGACAAATAGTGGGTTTGTGGGACGGGGGCATGGCCCGAGAGTGGTAACGGGACGTTTGGTAAATATAGTGGGTTATTGGACAAATAGTGGGTTCGTGGGGACCGGTCAGTGGGTGGGGGGCCAGTCGCCCTGACGAAGCGGTGGTCGGTTGGAGACCTCCAATTATTCCACGCTCATTCACGGCATCATCAAGCTATGCCTTTGTTTAGAATAAGCGACTTCTAGTGGCGAAACTTACATACTGTGCCTTTAATACAGAATCAAGAATTAACACCAACCTCTTTGTTCTTCAGTGTGTTTCATTCTGCAGTGTTCTGGATCTCATGTTCTCAGTGTCCTTCAATAAACTCTGTGTTTGTGTTAGCTCTTCCTGATGGTTTGATGCTCGTCTTCACTTGTAGCTGAGGGGAATATTCCGTTTATTGGTGAACTGCAGTGGGAGGAGCTTCACTGAAGGAGGAGCTTCACTGGAGGAGGAGGAGGAGCATCACTGAAGGAGGAGATCTGACAAAATCAATAAGAAAACACATACTGAGTTTGTTTTTATATTAATTTACACATTTTAAATGTTTATGCCCACCTTTTCTATCTAAAGTAACTTTTAAGTTAATTAATCTCAAAGGTCTGATTTCACAGACAGGGATTGGATTAAGCCAGGAATAGGCCTTTGTTCAATTAGGGCATTTAAGTAGCTTTTGGGCTAGGGGTGTAACGATACCCTCATGTTAGGATTCGAAATATATCATAATAGTGAACTCCGAATATCGAATGATATTGCGATACTGCAAGACATATGGTAAAAGGTAAACAAAGAAATTACTGTTGATTAAAATGCTAAATTTGGTATTACATTGGGAGTGGAAATGAAAAGGTTTGGACTTGGTGCTGGGAAACCAATGCACGGGACCACAGACACCGGAATAAAAAGAATTCATGATTCTGAAGCTGAAAATACAGAATTATATTTAGATTTATATTTTATTGGTAACATAGGACATTTGGCATTATCAGGACTGACAAATATCCCCTCATTGCTTTATTATACTCAACATAATACAGTAGTTTAATGTAGTACCACCGACACTAAAACTCTATAAACTTGAATTTTTTTGCATACAGTAATTTTCATTTTGGGTGAACTACACTCAAAACCGATTGTTACTATCCGCGCAACGCCCTGAACACGCACTAAATGTACACTATCTTGAATACCGCATTGGAGCGTATCCCATCATGCATTAGGTGCGGGAACTCACATGCACTGAAATCACAAGATGATGAGGAAAACATTCCACTGTAAGTTAAATGAACTACATTTTACATGTAATTTGGTAGAAAAACACATTGTTAAAGTGTCATTATAATGTTGCAAAGATGAGTATGGTATGTGTATTTTGCACATTTGCATCACTTAATTAAAAGCACCATATTTTTTAATTATGCCTTTTGTTACATTGGGACTACTAACCAGACATTGTTGATTTTAAAATGCAAAGAATTGAAAATTTAAATAAAGCTCTGTAAACACTTGCATTTTTGTGTCACTATAAGTGTGTCCTATTGGGTAATCTAGTCATCACACCTACTTGAACACTTGGGCTAAATGCAGGAAATACCTACATCGTGCAAGTACACAAGTGCAAAGACCGCAAGTGTGGTCCTTTAAAAAACATTACTAATGTGCATCTTGAGACAAAACAATGGCACTGACATTTTGCTGCTAGAAACAGATTGTTACAGACTGTATACTGAAAGAATAAAAGTGGTCTAATGTTAAAATATTATTTCTCAAATGATACAGTAAAATTGCAGGAACATAAAGAATAATCAAACCCATCTTTATCAAACATTGTAATTCGCCGATATCAATAGTTCATTTTCTACAACTATGTTACACATCTAGAAAGGAGCAGATGTCGTTTCTGGTGCAACACATTTTATATTGGGGCTTTGCATGCAATCCTGCAAGACAGATTTAACAGTACACAGTCAATCATCAGTGGAGCATCTCCATTTGGTGTGTTATCTGCTCGTCTCTGCATTAACTGCTATATTGTGCGCATTCTCACATTCAGTATGACATTTAATAATTGCTCATTATAACATTCCCTGTCGCTCACTAACCTAAATTAACATTCACTTCAGTTTGCAAATCAAACATGTGAACATACAGTATATCTCGCCCCATATCAAAAATAACAAATAACCCTTGTTAAACTTAATTTGAACCTATACATTTCCCTTTGTCTGTTAAACACTTTCCAAAGTACATACATTCTCTTTCTCAGCATGACTTGTTAACTCTAAATAACACATTACACTTTAACGTTCTCTTATGTCACATTTCACGACTCTTTTATACCATTATCGAGCAAATCACTTCGTTTGAGTTTCCCTTAAAGGGTCATTCCACCTCTGGAAAGATTCATGTGTATTTAAAATGGGTAATTTATGTAGAAGAAATGTGGAATTATTTTTGAATTTAGAGCTTTCTAGACTGAGAAAAGACAGAAAATGTATTTGTGCCTTATGTGGATGAAAAACAACAACTCCCAGAATGCACTTGCTTCGCTGGAGGCCACGCCTATCGGTAAACGCACAGTAGGTAAACAACAAGTCTAGGCTAGTGAGTCTCCGTGATGCGTCTGCCTGAAAATGCGTTCCGAGATCGCCCTATATTCCCGGGATTCGGCTTTTGCGTTGTACAGTCGTCATTCACCATGTTTACTGTGGCGAGCGGGACAAGTGAGAGCTGTGTGGAGAACGACGCGAGGCCGGTGGCGTGATTACCGATGAGCGGCAACTGAGACGTAAGTTACTGGTCTTGTATCGCTCACGGAGGAGCGGGAATTTTCTTAGCAATGTTAAAACCCACATCAACCGATCACTTGTTTAGCGTTCATGTAAACACTACATTCAGATTCAGCAATCAGAATGAATTCAGTTAGATTAAAACAAAAGCTGTAACTACAGAAAGCAAAAGCTGAATCCCGGACATCGATGGCCGGACATATCCGGGAAAAAGAGGATGGTAACACCTAAAGCTATAACTCAGCTTTCTCCACAGGACAACAGCCTGCTAGCTTAGCTTCCAAAAAAGATGTGTAATGCCAATCCTACATAATGCATCCGTCTGCGTATTCAGTACCTTCGTCCATATTTTCAAAACATTTCTGCGGTGAAATCAGACGCACTGGCACTGATCTGTGATAGGTCTGTTAGCACATTAGGTCCAACCCCCTATGGGTGGGTTTGAAAGGGTGAGATCTTGTGCTTGTAATTTTTCCAGAAATCCCCCTCTCTTATACTTCCTCCTACTATGACATAAAATGACTATTTTTGCATCATTGTAGGAGGAAGTGAAAAAGGTCAATAGCAGATTTCTCTCGTCTCAGGGGAAAATGAGAAAGTGTTGCACGACCATTCAATAGTATAGAGGGGTTTCACCGACGTCACGTTCTGGGCGGTAACCCGGATGCGCGGCCATTTTGGAGGTACTCGGTGTAAACAACTGAATGGAGCACAATGGAGTATTGTGCGCTTTGGATACTTTAAGTGAATTATAGCCATGTCTAAACAACTGAAAAGCTCACCAAAACGCGTCCAAGATGCAAAGGCATATAGGGAAGGACTTGGGCCACAAGAAAAGGCGCGATATTTTGAGAAATTACGATTTATTGGCGGTGCAGATCCCTACGAGTTAGCTCCCTCTTCTTAGATCCATGACAACCCGGTGATTCTTTCTTCAGTTGCATATCCTGATATATTGAATTGTGCACCTTTTCTGTAATTGTGAAATGTTCTTTAAATATTTTTGGCATTTGTTTTTTAGGTGGTGATATTTTTGTAAAGCTATTTTGACAAATAAAAGTTATACTCAAGTTACATACAAAATTGTGTTTACAGTTAGTCTATTGTACTATATTACACTGTATAATTTATAGTAGTGTAAAGTGTATAACTATAAGTGTCCTGATAAGTCTTTTTTCTTTAATATATCTGTGTTCTGTTGTGCTCTGCCAACCACAAGCGCATCCTTTCCTCTGATAACTTCTGGCATTCCTCTCCTTGGTTTTTAATAAATTTTGGAAGTCGATAATATTCCAAATGTTTTTCTTGGTTTTTCCTATTGGTACAACCTGAAACACGGCAATAATTAAACATTTTCCTTGACGACGTTCGAGATATAGCTCAGTGCCTATGCTTATTGTGATGCGGAGTGCCTCCAAAATGGCCGACTTCCGGTTTGATGACGCGTCGTGAAACCACTGGGTTTCCACAATGGAAAGATTAATGCAAATGGGTGGAGTTGCCCTTTAACTCTAATGTCCCCGCTGCATGCAACTTGCGCAAAATGGCGGACACCCGCGAACTCCACGTGTGTTACTGAACTCGCGTCACTTAAACTAGTGATGGGCAGATCGAGGCTTTGTGAAGCAATGAAACAGTTGAAGCAAATGTGCTATATTGTTTTGAGGCTTCGAATCAATCCGACACCCGTCTCCATGGTGACACCTAGTGGTCAATTGCAGGTGTTGATCTGAAACAACCTTTACAACAATGTGTTTTTTTATTATTGTATTTTTTAAATATATGATGCTTGTAACCTGTTGTCTCTTCACATTGCATAATGTTATTTTGGTCATGAAAAATTAATATTAATAAAACAAATCAAGCCACAATGTCTCACTTTCTTATAGATTTTTATTTAAAAATATTAATTTCTCCTCTGTTGTTTCTATTAATCTGTCCATATTGTGCACACAGAATGCCTATTCTTAAAGTCTTGTGCTGTTTTATGAAGGCAAAAAGCCATATAATGGTTTCGATTTTAGTTCATTGGCAAAATATAACGCTAGAGACAAAATATATATATATATATATATATATATATATATATATGTGTGTGTATGTATTGGGGGGGGGGGGGGGGTATTTTAAGCAAAAACAGGCCAATCACGAATAGCTGCAGTGGCGTAGATCGTAGAGCGCATAGTTCTTGAAAGAACGATTCATGTGCTCGAGTCCGAGTCTGACTTTTGCCGAACATGAGATGTAAAAAGTATAAACTAACATTGTCTCTCTCTAGCGTTATATTTTGTCAATTAACTTAAATCGAAACCATATGGGTTTTTGCCTTCATAAAACAGCACAAGACTTTAAGAATAGGCATTCTGTGCGCACTTTGCTCACGCGATCCTTCCCGACCGACCTATCAATCAAACCCTGATTCGGCGGAGCACTCCACCTGATGAAACACTTAGAAGCTTCATTTAGCCTTTGTCACGTGACTGTGGGTGTTTTGAATCACGCTTCGGATCAGTGTTTCGAATCATTTTTGCTTCGGGATCTCGCAAAGCTTCGGAACGTCTGTTTCGCGTCAGCCATCCCTAACTTAAACTATTATTTTACCCATCAATATCACACAACCTCTAAATAACAGTACTGTGCATACTGTCTTTCTATCTCCATTGCATAATACCAATTATCGTTTCACATACGAAGTTTCATTGCCGCATTGTTTCTGATCACGCTCTATCCACGGGTGATAACAATTTCGTGCTCAAAACTTACGTTACTTAACATAAATCCTAAATACTCAAATACTAAACATCACTGTTCGTGGACCCATTTGACTTAGACACAAGTAATCTTACCTGCAAAAAAGATATAACAGTAGCAACACAGTCAATCATGAGTGGAGCGCTAGTTGCACGTGGCCGCCATTTTGGATTTCTGATCCGTGGCTGCGTTCCAAACCGCATACTTCCTACTATTTAGTATGGGAAAAAGAGTAGGCGAGCAAAAAAGTATGAATGAATCCAAAAGAGTAGGCGAGAATTACCTGGGTGACGTAGTAATTGTCGCGAGATTCGGACTTAAGTGCGTTCCAGTGGCTGCGTCCAAAACCGCATACTCAATGAGTAGGTACTTAATTTCAATAAGTACTTACTCAACGAGCGCTAAAAGAGTAGGTACTTTATAGCCAAATCTCGTTGAGTATGAATGAGAACCGGACATCTGCCATGTTGACGTTATCATGTGACCTACTACGACGTGTTATCATCATATCACAAGCGCAAAGAAATGAACAGCGACACGTTTAATTCTTCTATCTATAAATATCTTGACATTGATGAAACTTTCTCATTTTGTTGTGGTATTGTTGAAGAAACAGCTGATATTTTTTTTTATTAAGAAACCCCCAAATCGTCACCTCTTGAATATATGTTGTTAATTTCTTTATTTTATACCCAAAACGTTTCTCCTTTAAGTTTTCCTCCTTTTCTTGATGAATTTACCTCGTTTCATCCCTCAGACCTATAACAACAAAATTTTTCATGTATTATGAAGAACTATTTAAAGATATTTAGCCTTGTTATTGTTCCTTTTTCCTGTATTATGATGTAAACAAACCAATGATCTAAAGTTATGTTTTCTGTTTTGTCATTATGACTATTATGGTATCTTTCCATGATCTTGTATTAACGTTTATAAGTTTAAATTATGAGTGACAGGTGTACTAACACTTCATACCATCAGTGACTCGACAGCACAACCTAGAACAGTTTTCCTCTGCGTTTGTAATGTCTGCACAAAGGAGACGGGCAGCTGCTCGAAGATCTCTTTCGGAGAAAACTGTTGATTTTATACTCGAAAAATGTAAGTATCACTCCTTAAAAATTAATAATAGCCTACCTCAGAATGAATTGCATTGTTAGCCCACCCCAAAACTTAAACAAAATAATAATATTAAATGCTGACCAATACTTATATAACTTTTTTATATACTAAAAATATAATTTAATATAACAAGCAAAATGTAATTTGTTTTGTCATATGACAGTTATGCATGAATACATTTATATTCATAAATGCAGTGAAACATCTCAATTATCAGTCAATCGATGAATTAATGGATACATTAATTAAATAATTAAATTTTATATACTGACAACAATAATAAAAATGAATAAATGAGTAAAAGAACAAATAAAAGTAACCATCACAATAAACAAATGCATTATACAAGTCAACAACACATGAAACAAAGCTTTATTCAAACTACAAGCATGTATTTACAGCCGCTGAACACCACATCATGCCGACTCAACACAGCGGTTCCAGGTGGAGAGATGGAGGAACTCATCCATGGCACCACTTCCAGGATGCACCTCTGGGCTCCTCATCCTCAGTGCTCACACCAGTCTGCAGACATTTCAGATCCTACAAAAATGCACAAACATTATACAAAAGCAGTCATTTTAACACAATGTCATTTGATTTATCTATTAAAAATAACCTTACCTTATATTTGAGTAAAATCCCTAAAACAAATGCTGCCATCATCTTTCCTTGCAGGTCCTGCTCCACCACAAAAGCTATGCAGCAAATGCACAGAAATCAAGAATCAGAAAAGTGTTGTAATGTCTCTACTTGAATTTACAATAATTCAAATAAACTACAAATTAAGATTGAATAGATTTTGATATCCATTTCTGTAGTATACTCACTCAAAGCCTTTGATGACAGCATTCAGCATCATGAGCCTCTCCACCGGATAAACACACGCGTGTTCTTCTGTCCTTGTAACATACAGACAAGATTCACATTACGAGCTCAACACTGAATTTACATTCTGAGGTTGATGTGTTAACTCACTTTTAATCCAACTTAAATGTTCCTTAATATATCAACACTAATAAAGGACAAATTAAATATAACATATTTAGTTACTTTATAGATTTGTTTATTTACCGTATTTACAGCACATTTGTCTAATGTAAGTAGTGTTGACAACAGTGAATTATCCTTCATAATAGCACACATAACGTTACATCACTCAGATGTATTTTTCATGTTGGGATGTGCTCATCTGCAATACTTAAACAATATTTTCATTTCAGATGTAAATATACATTTTAAATAAGCGTGTTTAAGATGTAACGTTATATGGTTATGTAAATCCATTTTAGAAACTTACGTGTAACGTTAGCCTACTTACTGGAGCTCCCCTGTTTAACTAACTAATAAAACATGTGTTTACAGCAAAATCACAACTATACTATACTGTCTAAGTCCTTTAGACCTTCAACAGTTAAAACGTTTACTCTATAGTAGTTTAACACATACGATTTAAACACAAGGAACCGTGTTTGTTTACTCACATTTGAAAACCCCCTGCTTCGCTGATCTCCGCGATGTTGATAATGACGAATGCTCTCCCGTGGCCTCCTGGGATAGAAGAGTATCCATCGGATGAACACTCAAAAATCTTGGCGAAAGCAGGAGATCATCCGGGAACTTCTCGCCTACTCTTTTATGAGTACTGAGGTTTCGGACATACTACTCCTTTCAAATACTGTTTTCACCTACTATATAGTACGAAAGTAGGAATATTCGGACGTACTATAAGTATACGTATGCCCGAATCTCGCGATAATTAGTACGTCACTCTGGTAATTCTCGCCTACTCTTTATGGATACTAAGGATTCGGACATACTTATTCGCTCGCCTACTGCTTTTTCCCTACTATATAGTAGGAAAGTATGCGGTTTCGGACGCAGCCTTAGACTTGAGTGCAAAAATGGAGGCTCTAGACCCTTCCAGAGCTGAGATATCGAAACTCAAATATTCGACCTGAAAAAAAAACGACAGTGGTACCCCTTTCGTTTTTTTTGGGGGGGGGGATTACGTTTCTCCAATCTTCTCAAAACTCTGGATTCTGATAGAGGGCCATGAGACTTAAACCTGAGTGCAAAAATGGAGGCTCTAGACCCTTCCAGAGCTGAGATATGGCCATCCCGTGTAGCATTTATCCCATTATAAAAATAGTGGTTTATAATGGGATAAATGCTACGTGGGATCGCAATATCTCAGCTCAGGAACGGTCTAGAGCCTCCATTTTTGCACTCAGGTCTAAGTCTCATGGCCCTCTATCAGAATCCAGAGTTTCAAGAAAATCAGAGAAACTCAAAATTTCGACCCGCCAAAAAAAAAAAAAAGCGAAAGGGATAACACTGTCGTTTTTTGGGGGGGTCGAAATTTTGAGATTTTTTCATCAATGATATTGCATGTTGATTTAGTCACAGTTATCGTTGAATGACAATGTCTCGTCTTCGTCTCCTTAGTCATAGAAAAAAAAATGGTTATAAACAAATATTTTTCGTCTTCTTTTCGTTAATGAAATGAACGGTCAACTTACAGTATGTTTTTTAATATTTCCACACACATCATCAGCACATCAGTAAGGCTATGGAGAGTTGACAGACGATCACGAGCGCAACAAACAAACAGCAGCCGCCTTTTACAGTTCCTCCTGAACCAAAACAATGAGCTTATGCTGTGTTCACACGATGTAGTACCGTAATTACGAGATGACAACCCGTGACGTTCTACTCTGAGTCCTTGGTCTCGTAACTATGTTTCTATGGCTAAACTATTAACAACGAAAAGAATCTGCAGCAGTCAGGAAGTACAGGTGTGTGCTCTTTAAATGGTTTATGTTCATTATTATTGTAATGTTGTGTGCTTTGAGACATGAGGTAGTTTAACGTCATCTCTCGTCTTGTGATGCTTTGCAGACTCTGCTGTACATGTTCATGGGTTTTGGAGAAGGCGTGGTTTTGGAGACGCTCTGAAGGGGTGGAATCTTATCTCTAAATTTAGCTTGCTATGGTTTGCCTCTCATAAATTGCCAACCCTGCCTTTAAATGATTGAAAACTACACATGCAGCACACTAGCGCCATTTATGCACTAATAGAAGGAAACAGCACTCAATGCAGTACATTTGATCATCTTTTATTATAAATAAAAAGAAGGCTACAAGATGAATACATTTCATCACAATGATTCACTAGGACATACTGAACAGTTTGAACTAAAAAGAAACTAACTTAAACATATCTGCTGAATTAGCAGGCACCATTACTTGCAACGCCAATGTTCCTGATGGAAACTGTTCACATCAAATAAATCATTTGAAATCTGAGGCATTTCAACATAAAAATGACATTAAGATAAACTCATTTTTAAGGTTTTAAAAATAATCATTGCTCAGTATATCAAATCTAAATTGCTATTCTTGTAAATAAAATGTTAACTATCTGGCACCATATTTGTTGTGTGGCTTGGCAAAAAGAACTCAATGCTTAGTCTTACAGCAGAATATTTCACATATTTGCACTAAAACAATTAAAAATAGTTTCGTTTTTTTTATCCACAAACTCTGAGTAATAGACTTGATTTACATTATGCAATATAGTTAAAGATGCACATACATTGTACATAATGTATTGCTTACCGCAGTGAGTTTACAATGTTATTTTCTGTTAACGAGTGCAATTCTGAAAGATCTTGATGACAGTAGACGATTTAAGACAATCAAATAATATAACAAATGATGTTTAGCATACGCTCTTCATCAAATAAACGTTGACATCTTCAGAAAAAAAAAATTCAAGTTTAATAACTGATATTTTCTTAGATGTACTTGGTGTATTTGAATGTGAAAATACAGCTCAAATAGAAATAAAAAAAAAATCAGTTAAAAGTGCAAATACTGGGTTTAAAACCTCACTGTTTTCTTTTCACATGTGTAAAACCATATATATAATTTTAAATGGCAAAATTGCACAATAATTACAATGATATTTGCCCAGTTGATCTATTCCAGCACCATCAGCTTCGACCCTCATTTAGTGCGTGAAACATTGAGTATTCATGGACTGCACATGATACCAAAACAATGTCTTTAATGCTGCATCCATTGGGAACTCCAGATGCAATCTGGTGCACAATTTGAAATTAAATACATCCACAACAGACAAACCATTCATCCACACATGAGGAGAATGGCTGAACGAACATTACAGGACGTCACATTAAAACGAGCTTCTCCC